TTCTCTTTGCTTACACCCTAGGCTGGCTGGACAGGCGCCAGCTCTGGTCAGAAGTCACCAAGTTGTTTCAGCTCCGTACCCGGTGCCTGTATCTTGCGTCTCAGTAGGGTTTATTAGTTGAGGCTCAACACCATGCCGGGGTGGCCATATGGCCCTGTGGAGCCCAGCGAGCTCAGCGCGTGGGCAGAACGAACGTGTCTGCGCTCGCACCCGCGTGAACCACCCTCGTGAACCCGGCGGCTGCTTCGAGAAACACGCGGGCAAGTTTAGCACCGAGGAGGAAAAAGCAGCGACCTTCGTGTGGCTGGGCAGAGCAGACGGGCACGGAGCTAAGCGGCGTCTCCTGGACGGGGTACGCGGCTCCTTAATGTCAAGGATACCTGTTGTTCCTAGTGGGGACGTCTCCACAGCCAGGTAAGGACGTTGTGGTGAGAAAATATTTCACACACGTTGTTTTTATTTTTAAGCCAAAACGAGGTCTGAACACCGTGCGACTGGCACAGCCTTTTGGTCACCTTACTCTTTGTGAGGGTGCAAGAGGTGATTCACCAGCCTGTCCTCTACGAGTCTGCTCCCCCACATCTCACGTATTCATTTCTTAATCTTACACTGAGAAAGAGCTGGAAACCTAAAAGATCAAAATATCCAGGCTGAAAATTATTCAGCACTTGCAATAAGGTGAGCCACGTTCTATTCTCAAATGTAATGAAGTTTTAGCAGTAACACCAAAATACTCACTCTTATAATCAATACCATAAATGAGATTCTAGTTCACCTATCTATAGAAACAAACACCCTAAAACATATAGGAAAGCATCGGGTAAACCTTTTTTAATTTGTACATAAGTGGTTACTTTTTATTTAACTAACTCACATGTACAATTGATTTTTCACCTGGCCCTTATTAGGGCCCAACGCAGAGAGGGCCTGTAACACAGGGCAAGGAAATCCTCTTCCTACACAGAGATTATTTAAGGATACACTTCCAACGTTCGGCATAAAGAGCATCTTTGCTGTGGCTATTATTGTCACCGTGAGAACCCACGAACGGCTGGAGGGCAAAAACGAAAAAACGGGTAGGTGCAGAGAAAACCGTGGCAGATCTTCCCCCGTTACCTTGGCTCATTGCAGAGGCTGAGTTCGAGCTGCTGAAAGCACAAGGGCATGTGTATTTTGTGTATTTTTGAGACAGAAATGTTGCTGGCACAAACACCCAACTATGTACTCAGCTTGAAGGGGAAGGGTGATGCCTGCACTCCTCACTTCCATTCCCATCTTCCCCAGCCAGCCCCAGGTTATGTTACTTGCAGGTATTTTTTTAAGAAGAAGAAGAAAATAGCTGGAAAACAGCACTCTGACTTGCTAACGCTTAGCCATGCAACTTGTGCTACGTTTTCAGTGGGACTCCTCATCCATCAAATTACTCACTGGAATAAAAATTTACAGCATCCGTTTTTCACAGACTGTCTTGGTGACACTAGTACATTAGCTAGTAAAGAACTCATAACATTTTCTTTTTCCATACAGAACACAACGAAAGCATCAGATCTGAAACAACCCTGAACCTAGCTGGGAGTCCTCACACATTATGGGGGAAAACACTGTCTACATTATATCCTCTCAGAATAGACTATACATTGCTGAACACCACACCCTTCAGATTTTTTTCAGAGCCTCGTTAATGAAAACCAATGTTTTTTTCCTTTGTAAAATGTAAAAAGCACACAGTTTGTCTTTTAAAATACAGTTGTCAAATTTCAAGGGGTATATATATGCTAGCATCTACCCTAGGGGTATTTCAGGGCCAGAGTCTGTTACAAATAAAATCTTTATTCATATGAACAGCTACCTGGGGGGCAGTACAGAATGTTACACATTACATTTATATATATTTTTCGAAAATAATCTAGCAGTGCTATTAAAACCAAACTTGAAGCTATACTGCACTTACAGATCTAAGTCTTTATACCACTAACTTCTTTATCTGAATTAATACTTTTGGTAGAGCATAGCCTGAGAGCAAAATAAAATGCTTTTGTTTAGTGTGTCATCTTGATTATTTTTGTATCTGAAATTTAAAATATTTTTTTCTCATGGTAATAAGCAGAATTATGCTAAAGAAAAAGCAACAAATCAAGTATTTCTTCCTAGACTGCTGTAATGAATTATCATTTTCAAATTTGAGAACTTTCTTTGAGGTAAGGGGAAAAATTCTTAGAGGTTTGTTACTCAATTTCTGCAGTTTGTGCTAAATTAATCAAAATTAATTTTAGAGGAGCAGTTCAGATATTCATATTTTTCAAAGAAGTAGTTGGGAGCAAACACAATGCCAGGACCCTGCAGACTGACGGCAGTGCAGTTTTCAGGAGGTCACTTCTCTTTGCCATATTCATGAACTGATGAGAAACTTCTCTAATTGCTGAAAAAAAAATCTAGAAAAAGCAAATAGTGAAATGTTGCCCTTTTACAGCATATTTCAAATGCCCTAAGTTGGAAACTGCTGTCCTGAAAATGTAGTATTTCTCTTCCTGGAGTCACAATTTCTAGAGGGGAATCTCCCGTTTTCTTAGAAATCAAAGTACTCGGGAAGAGCCGACACGAATGTCTTGTTCCTCCCACTCTGAGACAGACTGCAGCGAAGCGACAGGAAAGGAGAGTTTAGCCCAAGAAGCGCCTTGTGCCCTCCCTTTCTGACGGAAGATGGAGCAAACCCACCTCAAAATTGACATCTTCGGGCCAATTAAGGCAGGAAGGAGAAATCACACAAATCTCCACAGAGCAAGGCAAGAAAGCAGCCCGTGCAGCTCTGTTGCTCCAGTCCCTCAATATATGAGACCATTTCCAGTCACTAGCTACATCTCCCCCTCTCAAAAGCACCTCCTTAAGGGCCCGCTGAGCTCGAGCTCATACTCCCTGCCCCATCTGCCATATTCATCACAGTTCCTGTCCTCCTTTCAGGAGATGAATGAAGATTTGAGCTGGTTTAACTACATACTGCACAAGGAAGTCATGACAATAGCAATGTATGTGTGTATATATATCTATATATATATTTAAGATGAAGATCAAGAATGCAGGAAAATTAGCAATGCAACAGTGTTACCAAAAAATTTTGCACGTATATATATCTATATATATATTTAAGAATGCAGGAAAAATAGCAATGCAACAGTGTTGAAATTTTTGTGATCTTTCTGCATTATTACCTGCATACAGAGAAACAAGTATTTACGAAACACCATTGATCTCTATCTGAAGAGCACTTGGAAACAAGTTTTTGATTCTAGAAAATGAGTCACGAATAACGTCAATACTGTAAATAACACAGATCTGTGGCTTCACATTGCCTCCCAAGAAGACTGAGATATTTAAATATCTAATTCAAAACATACACTCCTGACAATTAACTATAATTTTGTCTTCAGATGAATAATAAGTCACTGCTACCTGGGAAACAGATCTTAAATGGTTACTGGCAAGCTAGAAGTAGAAGAATCAGTTAATTTTAATCAATGTTTTTTATAGCAGGAAAGACTAGTCAGCCTCATTAGGCTGTAGTCTGATGCATTTATGCTTTCCATCTAATACAATCCTTGAAACACTCAATTGCAAAACAAACATTAAAAATGTGCAAGTAAAGGAGATGGTATCCCTAATTAGTTTTTCTCTCACCAGCCACAGCAGCCTTTGTTCCTAAAATGTTCCTAAAATATTTTATTCCTAAAATTTTACCCTGCATGCAAGGATATGGTATATAGTCTTCTCTAAACACTGTATCACTGTGAACTTGGACTATTTGATTCTGTCTGATCACGCACTAACAGCAACAGCAAAGAGAAAGCTTTCCTCTCTTTAAGATGCTTTATTGGCTAGCTCAGATTTATTTGTTGTCAGTAAAGGTTATATTTGCACATAAGTCTATGACAGATTGCAAGTTTATTAACTTCAAGGGAGTTTTCAAGCTGCTGGGCTGTTTTTTTGTTGTTGTTGTTTCTGTTCCCCCCCTCCTCCTCCCAAGATGCGGGTTACTTGACAAATTGGAGTTAAGTTATCTTAGGTCAATGTAACTGTAAGTTAAACTAATGAAGTGCATGTCTATGAGTGATGCCTGATTAGTTTAATACAGTTAGTGCTGGACAGCTTGGGCTGCTGACCTTGAAGGCACACAGATAACATTGTGCTGCGTTGGAGGATGCGGTTGTGCTACGAGAGAGATTTACATAACAGTTTGTCATATAGACTCCTTCAAACCAGAGCCGTTGCAAAAGGAAAGCGCCGCGAGAGCAACGCTGAACGCCCTGCACGAGACAACGGGGAGAAAATCGTGCTCATGTTTCTCCTGAGATGGCACCACATCTCCACCGAGTAGGTACGGCTAAAAGAGCTGTTTAAAGACAGCCTGGTAGTTGAAGTGGCTGCTTCTCACTAGCTGATTGCGATCTGTTGACCTAAATATTTGGCTTTTATCAGTTCAGGTTCCAGCCGATAGAAATTCACAACTTACACGGGCGCGTGCTTGACGTCCACAGTCGCAGGCGCGTTACAGAGCCCGACTGCCGTTAAGATAAACCTGCTCCCTTAAATCCTCGAGGTCGGGACGCTCTGATAAACCTGCCCTAGCAGATAACTGGGAGGGCAGCGAGGCAGCTCGTATTGTGCACGTCTCTGCTATCTTCCAGCCCAATCTGTGCAAAACAGAGTTTTAATCTTTCACCATCTCCTAATTCGCCTGGTAATTTAGAAGCAAGATGCATGCATACATGTATGCACTGTACACAGAAATGAATCCACTCTTTAAGAGATTTCCAAAGACTAGCAATGCAGCTTCCCATATTTATACCCAAGGAAGGCAAAGCAAGAAGAAAAGCTTGTATTTGATCACTACAAGCTTCCTACACAACACATGTATATACACATAACTGCATATCCAGCTCGGGAGAACCAGCTGAAGGCCCCTGCACCATTTTTGCTGGGAGATGGTCCCGTTGTTCCCGGGTTACCTGTAGTTAGGGTTAGGTGGTACCGTTTGCATGAAAGAGATGGCAGCAGTCCGGGCTTTCCACGGCCACTTCTTGGCAGGGAGGGTGCAGAGGACGCAGTCGTCCATCTCCTCCTTCAGAAGATCCACCAGCTGCTTGTGGGAACCGCCATAGAAAGCTTCCAGGAGAAGAACAGTCATGTTCCTAGGATGTGGGGCCTGTTCGGATCCTGAAAAACACAATAACGAAGTGCTGCAGTTCAGAAATGCACCTTGTGATTTGAATTGGGAAAAAGATATTAGGAAATGGAGAAATCTATTGCAAGGTCCTATACAGTAACTTTTTTCTTTCTTATGAAATTAATCCTTCTTTCTAAATTCATTAGTTCACTTCAAAAAGGCTAATTAACAATTATATTGACAAAATTATAGCACCTATTAGTTTCAACCATTAAAACTTGCCATTTGAAATCTTTGAATCCAACTCCATGTGTCAAATTTAGAAATACCACATTTTGTCTTTTTTTTCCCCCCTTCTCCAACCAGACATTTAAAAGCAGCTCGGCTTCACGACACCCCCTGAAAGCCCCCACACCTCCTGCTTTCATGGGCTGGGGGAGACGTCCATAAAAAAAGCAGCCTATTCCTTTTACACAGGCTGCGCCCTTTTCCCGGTGGAACCAGGGAACCCCGTTAGAGCCAGGGATGCTGTGGAAGGGGCTGCCGAGAGCAGCCACCGGGGCCGCTCGCAAACAGGATGCAGGACACGTGGCCCGACGCGGCGGGAGACACGAGCGCCCTGTGACTGTTGCTCATCTGCTTCGTGAGTCACAGCCTTGGGCTACTGCAGAGCTGCTGCTCAGATGCCTTGAGCAAAACCATCAGATAAAACTGCTAAAAGCAAAACCCTGCAAAGGTATCTGCTGTGCGGGATCGCATCTCTGGGGACTTCCTTCTCAGAACACCCTACGGGAGGACCAGCATCACTTCGTGATTGATGGTGTTCACTCTAAGATTGGACGTCCTTTTCCTCATCTTTCATATCTAGTGGTTTCAGACTGTAATCTTCATCTTTTCAGGGTCTCTAATGACAAGAACAAAGAATTCAATAGTGAACTACACACTCTCAAGAAATTCTAAATCATAACCTCAACCCAGAAATTCAGTTAAATTCAAGTTCAAGTGAAAAAAAAAATATATATATATATACGCTGTAATCAGAGGTAAGAAGACAGGGAGGAAAATTACAAGGACACCAGTTCCTATCCAAAGATTAACTAGCTATGCAGACAACAACAAAAACTCATATGCTGAAGAAATTCAGCCAGAAGGGAAAACAAAAAGAAATCTCTAGACGGGTCTGAGTCACTGGCGCACTGTGGTGGGCCATTCTAAGATGAAATAGAAATGAACTTCTGGATCATTAAAGATCACACAGCAAGACAGTAAGCATCTCATACTTATGGCTTTCTTGCCATAATCCAGCCTGGCTTCAAGTTATAATTTGCTTTATTATTTATTCCTCCCCACTGTTCCAAGTACAGTATTTTGGGGACACATACACTCCTGAAGAAACCAGTGGTCTTCTGGAAGCAGAGCCCATGCTTCATTTTGGAGCTGGCTTCTTTTCAGGTAGCAATGCAGATTCTGATCTCTTTTCCACTGACCTAATTTCAGAATCACACTTTTGAAGTCAAGCGGTTTCTGAATTTACACGGATGTAACTGAAATCAGCATCTGTACTCCACAGCACCGGGGGGACCTGCCAGGTAATAACTACTCAAAAAGCACGAGCTGCGTTCAGAACACGCTCTGCTCACCTACAGGCCAGTTTGTAATTAATCATGCTATGCTTGTCAGCAAATGCCACAGAAAACGTAACTCAAAGGAACAGAAGGAAGCTTTTTGCAAATTCAGCCCCCAAAAAGGAGGGAACACAAAAAGTTTGTAAATGTCACTGAGTCAGCCGCTCGCTAAACAAGAGTTTCAGTTCATTTACAAATCGTTACAGGGATCAGCAGCAAAGTAATTTGTTCATAAAATATCTGATCAAATTTCAGTTGATCAGACTAGGTCTGAAACCGTTTTATCACCAGGTTTAGCTGAATCAACACTGTGCTGTTGGCTGCTACTTTGCAACAGTTTTTACTGCATGTTCTTGTTGCAATGGGGAACGTGTGTAGACGCCGACAGTAAAAGCCTTTTTAGGTTCTCAGGTTTCCCTCTGGCTTTAAGATCCTGACATTTAGGTTATTCCCCCTTTTCCTTCTCAGGTAGAACAAAAAAAGCAAGCACTACACAAATTTTGCAAAAGAATAAACTCCTTTAGGTTGAGTTACATGGCGAAAGTCAGTTCAAAACTAGACTCACTGTGCAACGTGTGTCAAAGAGCTCTCGCTGTGTAATTCTTCTTAATAGCACTCCTAGGTCCCAGCAGTAGCATGAGAGGAAGAAAATCAGCAATGACAAATTTGGCAGAGATGCTCTGAACCTCAAAGGCTTTCAGTTCACAGCGGCCCAAAAATGTGGATATTACTCACTAAAACTCACTGTCATACGATCTGTATGCATTACCAATAAGATGCTTCAAATTCATTCTGGTAAAAGTGTTGCGCAAAAAACAGCATGTTTTGGGTTTTTTTTTATTTTTTTAATACGCTACTAAAATATGAAAATATGAAATAATAATGGCAACAAAATATATGTCATTTTTCCTTCAGGCATTGATTAATCAAGAACAATGAAAAAGTCAGCCAATAAATCTTAAGCTTTAAAAACATACAACGATAATGCAAAGGAAGTTGCATTAAATACAACTAATAATTTCTTGTATTTAAAAAGTCACAGAGGAGGTAGGACACAGTCATTTATCTCATATTTCACCCACATAATTTCCAGTTTTGTTCACATACAAAAATAACATCTATTATTTTTGCTTTATTTCCCTTGACCTAGCCAAGTTAAGGTAAATATGTGCTATACGCTCCTCAGAGGTCTCGGAAAGACACTCATGATAAATGGCCTGAGAACAGTCCCCCTATCTGATGGAATGCGCTCCTCAATTAGATATAAATCACTCCAGGTATTCTTTTACCCGTTTCAAAGAAAACAACAAATATTAGAAAAACATTTCTGCTTCCCCTTTCTCATTACGCCGCTTCCTCTCCCAGGAGCGGCTCTTTGGAGCAGTGATTGTGCGTGTTCCGCCGACGGCTCCGCTCTCTTCTCACCACGGTGTCACTGCAGGGGTGGCAGAATTTGCCACCCTGGAGGTACCACATGTATATGTAGGAGCGCGTTTGGCAGCACATGCGTTACCAAGAAGCTACCTGGCATAAGAAAGCTCTCCTAGGTGGGCAGAATGTCGAGGAACATGAGTGGTTTATTAATATATACGTATAAAAGCAGCGTGTCACGGTGCGGCTCGTACGGCACCTCTGTGGCGTGGCACGAGGCGAACGCGTCGCACAAGAGGGACGCGGGTGCTGTGAATGGGCCAGTGCTGACAGAGCCGGCCGTTTGCAATAACAAAAACGTGCCTGAGTACCACACGGTACCATCGGAAAATATTTACTTTATTGGGAGAGAACATTAAGTGCTCGACTAGCCACAGAAACCATTGCTTCTTTGTAAGCTCTACGTTTGAAACCGGCTGAGGTATTTTTGTTAACCAGAACTACCAAACAGGTAGAGAGAACTCCCCATTTCCCGTGATTTATTAAGGAATATGCATCCATGCTGTCTCATATGCATAAGTGTGGTTTCACAAGCATCAGCAAAGCTCGCATCAGAAAGCCATAATTAGCTCTGCTCACTGACGTACTCAGGCAACATAAATTACAGCTCATGTTTAAGTATCTGTCCAACAAAATAGTTGAGCAACAGTCCAAAACCAAGGGAATAGTTGTTAATATATTCCATAGGTAGAGAGCTGCTATTAGTTACAGGAAATAAGGTATATGGTTTCAGTAATGATTGTTTCAACGGTCACAGTCCCACACGTATGAGAAATTTATTCCACCACAGTATCCAGAGCACACGTGGTTCAACATCTTATAACTTGACTGACTACTAAACCCACGAGGTGTGCGTTGTGCAAATACAAACATATTTACAGCTTCTGATGAGAGGAGATCAACATACTGCAATACTTGGTAGAGGTAAAGGTTTTTAATGTTCCACTTTGTGGTGAAATGGGATTTCCCAAAGGGCTATTGTGGTCTTAACCTTGAATTCGGTCTCCTCTGCCCCTTCCTCCCAACCCCAAAAGATGCACACATTTAGGTGTTAATGAAGCATATGAAGAAGCAAAAATATATAGAGAGTTTGCTTACCCACCCACTCACGATAATGACTCAGAGAAACCCAACAGAGCTATACCTTAAACATAAGTACATTTTAATGTCTGACCAAAATTTAACTTGCATTTAGATCACCCAAAACCACTGGCTGTGACACTTGTCATTGCTAAACTGTACAAATGTCAGAGTGACGCTTTAGTTTTTATATAATCCAACTTTAAAAAAAAATTCTCTACATCATGTGAGAAAGTTGTCAACCAAAAGTACTCAACTTTATCTGGAGGTCTGCATCAGCAGCAATATTAATTTACCAGTGACACCCATAAAACACATTGTCCCATCCACATAACCTAAGAGCACTCAACAGCTACACAACACCAAAAATTTTTATTACCTAAATTATGCATTACCCAAGTATGCACGAGTTTACATCATTATCTACACCAAAAACAATACATGCTATACTTATTTTGTTAAAATTCTGAAAGTGTGCTTTGCTTATGACCTGGAGAAATATATATATGTATTTCGAACACTATGTTCACTATATTGACAGGCAATTCCCAGCCAAAAATAGAAACAGATTGAATGCGACAAAATGGCAAGAGTCCCAGTGGTCTCAGGCAGGTAAGTATTCCCATCCATGAACTCTGCCCCAAAATCCCTATTCTAAAAAGATGTATTTAACATACTTATTCCAAGAACCTGGTTAAAGGACGGCTAAGTTATTCTTCCATAGAGTAGTTCAAGATGAACTGTAAATAGATATATGCTCCCAAAACAGCTGTCTGTAAATAAACTTTAAAATACACAATCAATTTTTAATCTTTTAAACTTACTTTCCAAATAAGAGCTTTGTGTGTCTTAATCCTGCGATTGAAAAGTCACGTTCTCAAATTT